GACACAAGAAATGAACACAGTTCCTTCCTCCCAGGAAGTGTCCCTGAGTATCAGAAGGGTTCTGCTCTGTATCCGGACGCTGCTCACTTATTTTCAGGTCCTGGGGGAAGATCAAGCACTGTCGGCAGTGTTCCAAAGCCACGCGGCTCTCTGCCATTAACCTGTCAGCTGTAATCAGCCTTGGCTTCTAGCAATGCCCCTCATTTGGGAGAAAAAGAAAAGCGGAACCAAATGGGTGGCTACCTGTTCAGTCACCTACAGAACTAGCTGGACCTTCAGTGAGTCATTTAACCTAGTTAAGTCTCGAGGTTCTCAACTCAAAAAGGAAGGGAACTGGACCACACCCTTTATGTTTTTTGGGATGTCTCTTTTCTATTTCACTGGGATGTTGGGAGGATAAATTAGGCAAAAACTACAGAATATAGGTAAATTAAGATGCCATGCTTATAATCCTCATTTATGGAATATTCCTCAGCTTATATCTTAGGGACCTGCTTGCATTATTGGTCACACTGTTCACCCAGAGAAGCAAAGAAATGGAGAGGGTTCCATACCCGAGAGCTAGAGTAGAACTGTAGGTTCTTAGTCCTCAGTTCACTGTTTATTGACCATACACCTTGACTTCCCATCAGAGCAACTGACTCCCATTGTGAATTTGTGTCATTTGGGGAAAATGAGTCGATGGAAGAGACAGGATCAAACTTTGCAGTCTGAAGAACAGTTTCTGCTGAAAATCTTAGAATCAAAGAACTATCATTTTTGTCCAGAAGGAAGAGAACATTCTCCACAAAGTTCTGTTTTCCTATTTTTGTTTTTTGGCTATGTGTGTTTTTCTTTATTAGAATTGCCATTTTCAAGTCTTATTAGAGATTGGTCATTTCATAATTATTGCCAGAAGAACTGGACATACAATGTTTTAAAAATGTATCTTTTGATTTGAAAATAATACACATTCATGTAGAATTTGGAAAGGAATATATAAAAAAATAAAAGAGAAGAAAACAACTGTGCCATTAGCACTCATAGATAATAGCTGTAAATTTTTAGTTTATTTTGTACTAGTCTTTTCATATATAATTATGAATTTGGGATTATCTTGCAACACACACAAGGTGTCTTCTTAGGGTCATTAAATATTCAGACCCACAGACAACCACAGGCTACATTTGGCACTGGTCTACTTGGGAGGAACCAGAGCTTGCCAACAGGGGAGCATCACGTGCTCCCCTACAGCACGTGCCTTCACAGTGGTCCAGCAGAGCTCTAGAGCTCAGGTGCAAGAGACCATAGACACATCAAAGGATGCAGGAGCCACCGTAGCTTAAAAGCCTCATGCCCTACAGGAGCCGACATACGGTGCAGCAATTTCAAAGGCATAGCCTTCAAGGTCCTACAATGGATGTGCCAAATTTCCGAGTCATTGCACTTAGAAGTCCTCGCATGGCACCTCCTCGGGTAATTACAGTTCTCGGAGTCCAGGTGCAATTCACCCATCAGGGGTTAATCTTGCCTAGCAACACTGTTGATGTATCACCACCTTTTTCTTTTTCTAGGGAAACAGACCCAGAAAATTAAAAGGTCAGATTCCCTTGTAAAGGGGAGAAAGATTTTACATGCAATAACTATAGACATTTTTTTAGCCCTTAAAAAAAATCTTAAGATTAAATCAAAAGCCTGTTTCTTGCTATTAAAAGTGTTCCAAAAATACAACTGCCTCATAATGTATTTACATAATTCCCAAGTACTGTGTATTTAGCTAGTTCCAAGTTTCTCATTGAAACTATTGCTGACATGAACATCCCTATACACAAACACTTGTATTTATATAAAACTGATTATTTCCTTAACATAAATTCAGGTACTGGAATTAATGACCGAGTCTGAAGTTTATGAACTTTTAATACATCTTACTTCGACTAGAACTGTATGAAGGTGTCTGTACCTTCAACAACATGGTCTATCTTTCTTTAAAACATTTGCCAATTTTATATAAAGGAGGAAATCCTATACTTGTCAAAATTACTTTTCTTTGATAATTGATGAGTTTAGAAATGTTCAGGCACACAGTCATTTTGCTGTTCTGTTAATTGTCTATTCCTGTGTTCTCCTGTTTTTACTTGGGGAAGCTCATTTTTTTTTTTTAAGTATTAAGGATACTTACATTTGAGTCTTATATCCTGTAAACTTTTTGCGGTCTTTTTCTTTTGTTAGAAATGCTTATTTTTAGGTAGACAAGTCTATCAAACCTTTTCTATACTCTTGCATCAACTTTCATAAGGGAGATTGTTTTTGCTACTGAGGGTGCTTTTGTGGGTGTGCATGCAGACTTTCTAAGTGTTTAAAATCCATATTTTTCTTGCTTTGTAATGTGCACTCAGAAGCTTTCCACTTATTTTTAGACTCTGGGACATTTTATAGAATTATGGATTTTATATTCCTTTAAAGTTTGAAGGAATTTATACTATAGCTACATGTCCTCAGTAGTATTTTGCGAGATAAATTTTAGATATGTTTAAAAATTTATTCTGTTTTTATTCACTATTCAGCTTTTCTACATCTTTTTAGGGCATTGTTAGTAAATTATCTTTTCATAAAATATTACCAATTTTATTGAGAGGAAAGCATTTATTGGCACAGAATTGTAAATACAATTTATTTTTTTAAAAAGATTTTATTTACTTATTTGAGAGAGAGTGAGCAAGAGAGAAAGAGAGAATGCACATGAGCCAGGGAAGGGGCAGAGAAGCAGACACCCCAATGAACAGGGAGCCTGACGTGGACTTGATCCCAAGTCTCTGGGATCATGACCTGAACCATTCAGGCACCCTGTAAATACAATTTAAATAGAGTATAGACTTTTTAAAAAAAATTTTTATTTATTTGACAGAGAGACAGCGGGAGGGGGAACACAAGCAGGGGAGTGGGAGAGGGAGAAAAAGGCTCCCCACTGAGCAGGGAGCCTGATGCGGGGCTCCATCCCAGGACCCTGGGATCATGACCTGAGCCGAAGGCAGATGCTTAATGACTGAGCCACCCAGGCACCCCTAGAGTATAGACTTTTAAAACATAAGCAAAAATACATAAGCCTTTAACTTTTTTTTTTACTTCTGCCTTTCTTATATTAGACTATCTAGGGGGTTGTACATTTTACCTTTCAAAGAATCTCATCCTGATTTTATTTGTTAATTCTATTGTTTTCTGATTCACTATTTTTTTTGTCCATAATTTTTCCTAATCTGTTTCCCTTGCTTTATTTATTTATTTTTTTAATGGAAAAAAATCTCTCTAATTCCAAGAAGTAATTACAGGAGAACCTAGGCAATGCTATATATCCTGGGACTAGGAAGAAGCGAGGAAAATACATTAGTAAGTCAACAGATCACTCAGAGAGTGTCTGAATACACAAGAAAATGATATGCTTCTGAGACAGAAAGAAACCAGGACGTGATTCCAGACTAAGTCTACTGCCTGCGGTTCCTGGAATTCCAAGTGGAATCTCGTTCTCTTCAGGTACAGGAAGTTGGTCTGTGATCCTGAAGAGGGTGAAGAAGTTTCCAGCCAGGCTCTGTGTTGCCCTACTTCTAAACACTTCGTACATGCCAGACACTGTGCTGAGCCATTCGTATGAACTGTCTTATTCAAGTCTCATGACAACTCCATGAAATAGGGAGTCCTGTTATCCCTCTGTTTTTTTGAGGGGAGGGGCAATAGAGTGACTCGCCCAAAGTCTCATAGACAGGATGTGAATCCAGGTGTGTCAGACTGCAGAACTTGTGCTTTTAACCACCCCAACATACCACAGTTTTATCACTGCTGACCTTAATTTTAATTGCTACAGCATAGTATTATCATTTAAGGGCGGGGGGGCAGTGGGTAGAGCCAAGGATCAATGATCAGAATGAATTTAAAGTACTATGACTCATTATGCCCATATTTTTTCTCCTCAAAAATTCTATTCCATTTCTCATCTTAAAGCAAGCAAAACATTTGCATGGAAAACAATACTTGAACTGAATGTCTGAGCCATCGGTATATTTCTCAGCATGCCAGTCAATATTTTTTTTTAAAAGAGAGGGGAGAGGAAGAGGGTGGGGGAGAGAGGGGGCAGAGTTGGGGGAGGCAGCTCTTGAAAGAGATATGGGGAAATGATAACTGATATTACATCCCAACTAATCTGACCTTGTAGCCTGTTCAGACACAGAAAGGTTTATTTTAAAACACAATGTCATTTTTAAAACTGAAATTAAAATATCTGAGGGTTAAATCACTTTACCAGATAATACAGATCTGTGAGCTTTATGCTTTTGAAACAGTTTCCCTCAAGAACAGTCTAGCCATTTTTTTTTTTTTTTTTGCCTCATGAGAGAGAAGAATGAAATAAATGAAGGCAAAGTTACAACTGAATTGGATGTGATGTAATATGAACACAGCCGGAGCCACCAAGAATGAATCGCAGCAAACTTCAGGTCAAGCGATTTCTCTCATCGGCCCCTCTGGAAGTTCAATCAGAACAGCAGGAGACTCAGGCCCAAGGGAGTCTATTCCACTCTGATCTGAGTCTTTATATCAGCCCCAGCATTTACATTCAAGACCTCGTCTGAATACACACAACCCCCAGCACATTTTTTTCAAGAGCACAGTAGCTGTTCTTAACTAACATGTTAGCCAATCAAGCCTGTTTAGAACAGTCACACTAACTTACGAAATGTATGTGTGTGTGTGTGTGTGTATATATATATATATATTTTTTTTACTTAAATTCAGACACCAAAAAGCAAAAACCACCTATAAAAGACAAGACCTATTTTAATGAGATTTTTTTTTTTTATGCAGAGCTCCATTCACTGTTTTGGCTGAAACAGGACCCCTCCCCACTGCCCCCCCCCCCACACAGTAAGGCTGCTGGTGAATGCCCAGGAAGGGAGGAAAGAGGAGAAAAGGAAGACAGGAAACGTTATTTAGGATCTGACAATAACAAAGGAAGTTTATTCTGTACTTACAATAGCAGTTGGGGTGGCAGCCAGCACACAATAGAGCACCAGAGGGGTGATGAAGCTTTCTTCCTCTGACCCCGGGTAAGGCTTCATTAAGTCTCCGTCCTGACAGAAGAATCCTTGGATATGCACCTGAAAAGTGTCAGTGCATTCGAAGTAGTAGGCAAGCAGCACTGTCCCAGCCATGATGACAAGCTGAAAATACAGCATGGCCACACAGAGACATTAGCAGGTCTTCCGAGCAGCGCTCGCCCCGCAGAGCACTCTCCCTCCATCACCCCAGCAGCTCTCCTCCTTTTGGTATTGGCAAGTGTGTGCGTGCCTGGCTCAGCATGCTCTGGGCTGGGGAGTGTGTGCTTGCTTGTCTGCCTTGTACCATCTGTTATATAAACCTTCCAAAAATAATGAACAGCTCCCATCGGAAAGGCAGACCACAGCAAGGCTTAGAGAGAGACCTAGCTTCTGCTGTCATCCTCTTGGAGGATGCATAGGCACCACAGCAATATTTCCATTGGGGACAGAGGTGAAAAGTCAAAGGGCAGTGGCATAAGAATTGGTAAGATGTAGATGTGAGAAATTTCATAAAATATTAGAGATAGACTTACCTTCTTATAAAATATTAGAGGCAGGTGAATCATGAATGAATGAACAAATAAACAGGAAAGCTAAAGCCTAGAAAGGTTAAAGCCTAGAACCACACCCTAAATTACTGGTAGGGACGAACACATGGTCCAGGAATCCTAGATCAGTCACAGCGGCCACCTTCTCCAAAAAGGTGCCTTTATTCCAAAATTCTTTCCACCAGTAAATCCAGGACTTTCCTGATAACATCTTATCATAGACACAGATCCTTCATAAGGTTTAGATATAAAAAGGGACATAACTAACCTTTCATTTCGACTCACAAATGTCCTCGATACTCACTAACTAACCTTTCATTTCGACTCACAAATGTCCTCGATACTCACCGAGGTTTAGATGTAGCCTTTAGTAGGTATGAGAAGTTGAGGGAATATAGAAAAGCCAACATTAGTTTTCTCATTCATATTTGGAAACACTAAAATGCCAAGACGGTGATAAAGGTAGATAGAAAACAGGTTTTTGAGGTTATGAAATTACAGAAAATTAAGCTGGAAGAGGTCCTGGAGATCTTCCCCTCTAAAACCTTTATTTCATAGATGAGAAGGCTGAGGCCCAGCAAGGGGAACTGAACACTGCTGAATTATCCAACAAGTAAACTAAACAGATACTTAGGTTGAGAATCAGCAAAGCAGGGAAATGAAAATGGAGGGAAAAAAATTTTTTTAAGTGTTGATTTTTAAAAAAAGTATCAAAGTAATCATTATAGGAAAAAATATCCGACCTTGGGAGGATGTCTTTGTACATTGTTTATGGCTTAAAATTGTTTTTGCTTGGAAGTACATATGGGGCAATGAGGGGGAAGGAAGGGTTTAGAAAGGCTAAAGTTCTTCTTTCAGCCCTGGAATGACTAACTCAAAGTCATAACATAGCTAGTTAGTGTAAGTCTGGGACTAGAAACCCACATTTTCTGATCCCCAGGAGAAAAAAAAAACAAAACCCACCTGTATCATGGCATCAAAATTTCACCCTCTACAAAAGCCTAGAGAGTTACTCTCATGCAGAGAGGTACTGTTGGGTGTTTTTATCTGTTTCATATCCAGTTCTTTAGCCACAGCATTGCAGAGAAGCCCTACACTCTGCCCACTCTCTGAAACCCTGCATAGCCTCTACTTGCGGGATCTTATTCCTGCAGTTCCGCCTTGTTACAGCTGAAAGCATTCCAGGCCTTGAGTTGTAGTGGGTCTTAAGTGTGAACTCCTAACCATTCTGCTATAAGGGTCTTTGTCTTTGGCCTCAACCATTGCCACCTTTCTTTACCTCCAGGCCGGTCACAAATCACACTTTCCACGTGCTGTCCTTCATACACGACTTGTCTCTGGTTCTACAAGGACTATATTCTACTCTCTTGTATTTCCTCCCTCTCTTCCCCAGTGGATCTTCTGTCACAACTTCTGGCCGTCTAGTCATCTCTGGATATTCCCGTGTGTCTCTCTGAGCCTGAGAGTATTTCTTGGTGATTTACCACATGTAAATCACCAGTGCTCGGGCCAGCTATCTGTGTTGTTTCAAGCACTTTCTTTCTTTTCTTTTTAGCCCCAGAGAAGAGATTTGGATAAGTATGAGACAGAGGTGCTCCATAATGGGTGCTCCTGCTGGCAGCTCATTTATAAAGTTGAGGCCATGAAGTTTCTATTTCTTTTGTGCTTCACTGGTCAACTGAGCTGACCTGATGGGAAGGAACCTAGTCAACTGACCTGAATGTTTTGGAGCTGAGGAAATGCTATGATTCCCATAGTTTGGGGGGAGCTTTCCCTCTAGGGCTCTCTGTGCCTCCTGCATAGGCCTGATCTGAGATTTCTAGGTGTCTCCTCCATGTGGCTGGAAACATAATTCATCAGCCCTTGGGAAACAACTACTTGGAGAACAGGCAGGATCTACAAGAGCTTTTGGATGAAACAAAACCAAAAATGGCATCTAGCTTCCTCCACTGAGGACAAGTGTCAGATTTTACTGGGCACCTCTGTGTTACCACTTCCATTTAAAAATGGGCGGGATGAAAATGAAGTCCATAAAAGCAAAAATATACACAGGTAAAAAGACTCGCCAGAAAAACGTAGACTAGAAGCTTTTAGAACATAGAACCGTCTTAACTTCAAATACATCAAAATCAACAATAATGCCAACAAAAAAGCCTAGGCCAGTATGCCTAAATTTGAAGTCTATAGAACAAATCTTGACTAGCTGCCTGGCCAATTTAATCCTGTAAGCAGCATTAAGAGAGAACTGAATAAATATGTGAATCAGTCAATTTCAGGGCATAAAGTAAAGAACAGAGAACCTCAGAGACTCAGGGTGGTACGGGAAGGTAGGAACTTCAGCAGCCTAGTGGACAGAACTGACCTGGCGGCATAAGTCTACTGACCCTGATCAGCCTCCCTGATCAGCCAGAAACCCCTGCCTGTCATCTTTAAGTAATCCTCAAACTCCCTGGAGAGGCCCCCGTAATACCAGTTAGAGATGCACAGAAGCAAACCCAGAATAATTCAGATTTGATTTCTAGGTTTCTTTTCTATTGAACATTCTCTTGTGACCACATATTAAAAAGAAGCTTTGCGGGGCGCCTGGGTGGCTCAGTTGGTTAAGCGACTGCCTTCGGCTCAGGTCATGATCCTGGAGTCCCGGGATCGAGTCCCCCATCGGGCTCCCTGCTCAGCAGGGAGTCTGCTTCTCCCTCTGACCCTCCTCCCTCTCATGCTCTCTGTCTCTCATTCTCTCTCTCTCAAATAAATAAATAAAATCTGTAAAAAAAATAAAATAAAATAAATAAAAAGAAGCTTTGCATTTACTGTGGGAATAGAAACACTACGTTGGTTCTGCTTCCATGAGCAGAGAGGTCCGCTTTGCAACTCATGACAGCGCACAATTGGCCATCAGCGTCCTCCCTCCTTCCTCTCTATCCTGGGCCATGATCCATCACTGTCTAGGTTTGTGTTGCTGGTTCCAGCTGACACACTTGGCAACTCTGTTGCCTTCTCCAGCCCCATTTAGGGATGCATGGAGGGAGGCCATAATGTTGGTGTCACATGAGCAGATGGTGAGGCTGTGCTGGACCCAAGCGCTGGTGGAGGGTTGATGATATCCGTGTGAAAGGAGTAATTATGGCTGTGGGTGGGGAGGAGCTCACGTACCAGGGTTTTTCCTCAGCTTCACTTCTCAAGAATGACAATCCGATATATAAAAATGCATTAAATCCTGACCATTCTACAAGGATTCAGAAGGCAGATGCCAGCAATATCTGAAATCCTGCCTCTCAGGGTTGAGAGCATTGTGGTTCTATCCTCCAACGATTAGAGAAAAGTGAAAGTCACAAAGAGTGATAATGGGGAAGGTCACAAAGCTGAGGGAAAAGGCTGAGATGACAGTACATTTTCCTTCGGTCTGTAAAGTCTGGAGCAATTGTGGACACTAATTTATATGACCTGCTATAAGCTCGAAGAATGGGGGAAGAGGTAATGATGGTATGACTCATGACAGCGAGTGAATATGCATATGTGTGAGTGTGTGTGGACACATGTGCGCACTCCTCCAGGAGCATGGGAGCAGACATGTGAGGTTGGAATGAGAGCACTGGTCTGGAGTGTAAGGGGCATATTTGAAACTGGGGAAGCCCAGTCTAGGTGACTAACCATCTCAGTTTTCCGAGGCTTGAGGGGCTCCTGGGACATGGGACCTTTCAGTGCTCAAACCGAGATCGTCCCAAACTAACTGGGGTGCTAGGTCACTCTACCTGAGGCAATGAATGTTTCCCTCCCCAAAGAGGTTTCTAATTCTGGTTTTGCCAGGAGCTATCAAGACCATTGCAAATTAATCAGTCAACCAACAACTGTTTGTGGGAGCTGCCTCTGTGTTCAGTCCCGAACTAAGAGCTGTGAAGATGCAGAATCCTTGGACATGCTCTCTAACCTCAAGCAATTTGTGGTCCAACTGGTGAGTGCTCAACACAGGAACCAGACAATGATCTGTAGATCTGTAGGAGGGTGTCTGCCGATCCCCAGTTGGGGTTCATACGTGGCTGCCTGTGCCTTGGTGAGCTTATAGGGAGGGGGTTGACAGAATAGGTAAAGGGCTGATGCATGGAAGAGAAGGGAGTACAAGGGGATGGACAGGGCAGCATGGGGTCTGTTTAGGAGACTGGTTTTGACTAAGCCCCATGGGCATATGTTCAATTCCAAAGAGAGCAGGGATAAAAGAAACTCAGCAGAAGGAGCACTGCATCAGAGCTTAGATGATAAGATTCGGCGTGGTTGGGGCGCCTGGGTGGCTCAGTCGTTAAGAGGCTGCCTTCGGCTCAGGTCATGATCCCAGAGTCCTGGGATCGAGCCCCACATTGGGCTCCCTGCTCTACGGGAGGCCTGCTTCTCCCTCTCCCACTCCCCCTGCTTGTGTTCCCTCTCTCGCTGTGTCTCTCTCTGTCAAGTAAATAAAATAAAAAATAAAAATAAATTAAAAAAAAAAAAGATTCGGCGTGGTTGTGATGCAGAGGGTTATGTCTTAGTGAGGACTCCAGGGAACAGTACATTTGAAGGACTTGCATGTTTTTCATATTAAAAAAG